ATACATATATATACATATATATATATATATATATATATTAATCATATGAACACATCCACCACACGGATACGTACCATGCGCGTGATATCCACCTGTCTGGCATGCTGGTGGTCGTTAAGGGTCATCTGCATGGAATCAAACAGTTCTTTCATGCGGTACTCAGAGGTGCTGTGTGTATCTCGTTCGCGTTGCATAGCCTCGTGTTGAACTGTCAACTGGCGTACGTTTGCTTCCAGCGTGGTGCGTGTGTGCTCCAGTTTAGATATCTGTCCCTTCTGGGTGGCTACTTCCTGCTCGGCCTGTGTTTTCGTGTATTGGGGATACGTGCGTGGTTGTGAGTTAGTGTTTCTATACATATGCATGTATATGGACGACATTTGCGTATATGAATCGCTTTACATATATTCAATGAATCGCAATTTCACCATACACCCATTAGAAAGCGGGCATTTCTATATTATAAACGAATGTTCTTTCGAATTCGCTATACACAAATCTCTTAATAGCACCTATGTCACAAGTTGTGGCTTGTCCTTGATTTTCACTCAGCACAATAAAACAATTCACATTATGCTAAAAAAAACTATCTCACGCTTACAGTTAGCCGGTCGCACTTGTCACGAACGTCGGTGCCGTGCACACAATACAACGCCAAAACAAATACAACATACAGTATACATATACAACATACAGTATACATATACAACATACAGTATACATATACAACATACAGTATACATATACAACATACAGTATACATATAACAACATACAGTATACATATACAACATACAGTATACATATACAACATACAGTATACATATACAACATGCAGTATACATATACAACATGCAGTATACATATACAACATACAGTATACATATACAACATACAGTATACATAACGCGCAACAGACCTTTACCCTTTACATTCAGTCTGCTGCTTGTACCATGCCACGCTCCGTTGTAACAACTACCAGCGGATATCAGGCAATATACACATCTGTTATTTTAGGACTCAATGCACAAGCGAGTACCCGTCTGGCACATCTACACCCTACATCTCGTTTGCAACTGGGTACACATATCTTGCATCAATGCCACACTTGTAAGTTACACTAAACCCTAAATCCCTAGATTCTCTAAAACCTCCAAAACCATAAAACTCTACAACACACGACCCACTTACTATCTGCAGCTTGTACTCTGTCACGCCCAGTTCTGTGGCCTTTTCTGTCAGTCGTTGTGTGATTGCGTTGAGTTCGCGAGTAGACACATCCAGATTCGATGTGGTGAGCGCTAGACGTTCGTTCAGATGCCCGATCTCGGAGGCCTGTGTTTGGATAAAAGGGATGTATGTGTGACAATATATCGCTTACGCGTGCATGAAATA